AAAGAATACCTTAAACTCGTAAACACAATTTCAAGTTTAAAAAGTTCCTCAATTTAAACTGAGACTACTATAACACAGTGTTATAGTAGTCTCAGATTTAAAATCCCTCTTAAGGAATACGGGATATATTTGCGTGATCTTATACTTGTTTGATTAAAAAAATGCCTTCAAATACATGTTTATTTGTATTCAATTTATCACAAAACATATTTAGCTTATTTTAAATGAAAATAAAGAACAGAGAATAAAAACACTGTTGAAGAGAAAATACATATTCGTGTTAAATTCGCCTCAGTTTAATTTGTTAATTCAAGTTAGACATCTAAAATCTTAATCCGCAATCCTCATTTACCCGACAATCTTGTATATAATTGTATTTTTTCAATGGAATAACCTTACCTGCACGTGAACATCAGAAACGAAGACAAAAATTATATTTGTAATGGTATTTATCAAAACTTAAATGTTTGAATATTTAGTAGAATATGAATTTGCCAAATAAGCGAAGAATTATAATCTTGCATTGTTCAACATTGGAGAAATGACTCAAGTTGAACATTAATCATGTTAATACTGATTCAATATTTTATTATAGTCTCACCACATACAAACATAAAATGAGACATTTGCATTGTATGTACCAATCTTAAAAAGAATAATGAGAGACTTTTAAGACACAATATATTTACTCATTTACATTTAAAATTTACAGTGTCCACCTGTACTATATGAAAATAAAACATTTTTTCTTTGAGAAATAGGAAATAAAATGCCGTTTTTTTTCAATGAAATATTGTTGATGTTTTTGGCAACTATAGCAGCAACATTGCCGTTATTAAATAAAAATATGATTTTTTCGCTATTTGATAATTAAAGGTTAAAATGTTCATTAAAATGTTTAGCTTAATGTATCATAATTTGTCTTAAATCTACATATAATGGGCATTTTAAAATGACATGAAGTTCATCTTCAATAGTAGAGCTACAACACATGTCATCTCGTGGACTTCTTTTCTTTCATACTTTCCAGTTTCTATTTTTAGTGGAGCTACAATGTACCCCACATCTAAATTTTGCAAAAGCACTGTTGTTTTTAATTGGCGGAATATTTTTTAACAAATAACAGTTGGCCAACAGTATATTTTTAAGCCCATTTCGCTCAGTTGAATAGAAATTCCAATTTTAACTGTTCTGTCGTAGAAATGTCATCATGTTATTGTTTGTACGTAGAACATGTATCATTATATTAAAATGTGTCAGTCCCAGCCAAGATTCACTGAATAACCACGAAATGTTTACAGATGATAAATAAATTTTACACAAACATTCATGAATCTGTATGAACGTTATGTACGATGAAGTTAATTAAGTGTTCACAAGAAAGTAAGTATAAATGTAAATTTCATTTAAAGTCGGAACATATATATATATACACTTTAACCGTGAGATAAAATATAAGCTTTGATGAGCTCTATAACCGACTATCATATAAAAACCGCAATGAATGAACGTTACCCTATTAGAGATGAACATTTGACAAATGCACATTATCTGATGTACACAGTTATACACGATTGACGAACGCACGATACACGGTTAAGAATGAATGATTGATGAACGCACGATACACGCACGATACACGCACCATACACGATTAAGAAAACACGATGCACGCACGTTACACGGAAAATACACGGAACGATGAATGATGAGCGCACGATTGGTACACGCACGATACACGCACGATACACGCACGCAACACGCACGATACACGATGAACGCACGGAATAATGGTCAGTTTGAATTTTAGAAGGTCTGTACATAGTCTAAAGGATCATTCAATTTTATGGACATTGAAAGACCAGATGTCTCACCGTCATTTAAGCGGTCTCCGGTAGGTTTTCACTATATATTTTGAATATCAAACTGGCACTTTGAGCCCTCCGTAAACATAAAAGACAAGAAGTTTACCCGAATTCCTTTTGGTGTCATTTGTATCTTTATGTTTACTAACTATCTGCAAAACATTATGAAGATTAAAGACCAAGGAGGTCTCGCCATCGCCCGGTGCCCTTTGACCTGAATTTTCGACGATTTTTAGCTGAAAAGTGACAATTTAAGCCCTTCGTAGATATCGAAGATGACATTATTATGGGAAATCCTTTTGATTCGATCGGTATATATATACATAGTCTAAAGATGATTCAATTTTATGGACATTGAAAGACCAGGGGGTCTCATCGTCATTTAAGCGGTCTCCAGTAGGTTTTCACTAAATATTTTGAATATCAAACTGGCACTGTGAGCCCTCCGTAAACATAAAAGACAAGAAGTTTACCCAACTTCTTTTTGGTGTCATTTGTATCTTTATATTAAGTAACTATCTGCAAAACATTATGAAGATTGAGAGACCAAGGAGGTCTAGACATCGCTCTGTGCACTTTTACCTGAATTTTCGACGAATTTTAGCTGGAAAGTGACAATTTAAGCCCGCCGTAGATATCGAAGATGACGTTATTCAGGGAAAACCTATGATACGATCTGTATATATATACATAGTCTAACAGATCATTCAATTTTATGGACATTGAAAGACCAGGGGTCTCACCGTCATTTAAGCGGTCTCCACATCAATATAACATGACAAAGTCGTCTCAATAGTCATAATTTCAGTGTGAAGATTACCATGCGGATTTCTAATGTCCAGGTAAAAAAGGACAAAATTCACGTAATATGTGACTAGCCATGAGATTTCCAGGCTTATTGGGATACCTAGTCTAAAATAAGCTGATTACATATTTATCCAGTACATACTGAAAGAAAAAACCATTTAACGTTATAATGACAGATTTGTTGTAATAGCAGTGTAATGGGTCTGTTGTATAGGTAGCACGGTAGTATTTCCATTCCAGAATTTAGGTTGCTCTTTTGTGTACCCTACTTAGGTCAATGTATCTGAACAGTGTGATTGGACTAAAAATACAGTATCAACTGAACATACTTTCCCAAACTGAGGGATGAATCAGGTGTAGAAAAATATGAAATAATTTTACATACAGGTGAAAATGAATTTTTGAGAATTTTTTTAAATTTTGTATTCACTGCATGATAAAAGACCTAAAAGCACTAGTGGCCTTAGGTTTTTAAAAATAGCAAAAAAAGTAAACGGTCATGATACATATTCAAATTTATTTCTGATTAGTATAATGAAAGTACTTCAGTTAACTGTGTATGTAGAATTTTTCGCAGTGCTAGAAAGTGATGAAAATCCTAAAAAGGCTATCATTATCCCTTATGGGCCAGGAAATACTACCGTGCCACCTTAACTGGGATATATATGTTTACACAAAATCAATAAAAGTATTTTTTTTACCTATGCAATTTGTAAGTTTATCAATAAAAAGTTGATTTAAGGGCAACTAGAATAAAAACAGCCCTGAAATTTCACCCCTGGGAGTGAAAATTGCTGATTCAGCAAATTTTGCCTGATCTGTGGGTAATAATGTTAATATTTACCTAGAAAGTAAAATTTCTTTATTTTTAAGTAACTTGCAATACATTTTTAATTATAAAGTTTCGTTTTAACTTTTCGCAGTGTCTGATACTTGTGCAACAACTGGAATTTGAGACGCGACATATTTTAGTTGCCTGTACGTCCTATAATTTTCACCGTAATAAATAAAGTGCATAATTTTTTATTTTTTTCCACACAAGTACAAATATACTAGTTTTCTTCAGGTTTAATTTGTAGTTCTGTGGTAACATGACACCAGTAAAGAGCTTTTTTGGAACTAGTAAGTGGTTAAGGGGTCCTTACTTATTCATTTAGCCCTCACATTTAGCTGAAATAGAGATAGCATTAGGGGTTTCTTTACATTGACAAGACAATTTTTTTGACAAAGAATGTGATTATGATTGTATATCAGCAAGATTAAATAGTTTATTCATTTTCCATGCAAATTTCATTAATTTATTTGATTTTCTGACCCTGAAAAGCACAATAAAGCTAAATTGATTATGTAAGGGGACATAATTTAACTGAAGGCATACATGAGAAACAGACAATGAGTCAACTTAAAGATATATTCTAGTACATGTATTGTCAAAAAGATCTTTGAATAGCAGTAAACTGCCATCTAAAGAGTCTTATTATATTGCCTTCATAATCTGGAAATACTTAAAGGAATGTAAGGCATGCTGTAAAATGTGGAATGGACTTTACTATCATTTTTCATGATTTGGTGCTTAAACTGTTTCTTTCAGTCAGATTAACTATAAATAGAGTTGGCAATCCAATAATTCCTCCTGAATCACCATGGTTTACTTCTGTGTTGATTTGAAACAACATATATTTGGGTTTTGTTCACTCCTTAAGTAAAAATGTTCAGATGAAAAAAAAGTGAAAATCTGCCAGCTGGGTTAGGGGTATACTTTTTTATTTTTTTTTGGTAAGAAATAAGTGAAGACTAGTATTCTTTATTGTAATATGTTTCCTAGTAAGAAGTCTATGCATCATAGGTGTCATGACTGATTTCAAGTTTGTAATGTCTTGGTTAAGGTAGCACAGTAGTATTTCAATTCCAGAATTTAGGTTGCTCTTTTGTGTACCCTACTTAGGTCAATGTATCTGAACAGTGTGATTGGACTAAAAATACAGTATCAACTGAACATACTTTCCCAAACTGAGGGATGAATCAGGTGTAGAAAAATATGAAATAATTTTACATACAGGTGAAAATGAATTTTTGAGAATTTTTTTAAATTTTGTATTCACTGCATGATAAAAGACCTAAAAGCACTAGTGGCCTTAAGTTTTTAAAAATAGCAAAAAAAGTAAACGGTCATAATACATATTGAAATTTATTTCTGATTAGTATAATGAAAGTACTTCAGTTAACTGTGTATGTAGAATTTTTCGCAGTGCTAGAAAGTGGTGAAAATCCTAAAAAGGCTATCATTATCCCTTATGGGCCAGGAAATACTACCGTGCCACCTATATCGACATTAGGAGTACTTGATTCAACTTTTTGACTTACGAACGCATTAATTCATAAAGTACACATTTATTTATATACTTCATTGGCGCTAAGTAATTTTTAACGGATTATTTGGTAACGATTTTAAATTCACTAAAACAGGTTTTTGCTCTTTTTTTTTTTAGGAAATGTAATTTAAACGTGCAATGAAATGAGTCTTAAGTTTGTCTCAATGACATCGTGTAGTAGGTTCTTTAAAAAAATTCTCTTTTTATGCATGTATCTACAACACATATCATGCGAAAAGTAACGGTCTAAGGAGTTGTTTTCAAAATGACATTTCAAATATGCATTTTATACGGTGCTTTTATTATAATGATGCGATTTTAATGATTCTAACTATGAAAACTCTTATAAAACAGATAATTTTTAATTTCAAACACTCTGAAAACGTGTTTATACAGAATAAAGTAATTTCAACTTCAAACAAAAACAAAAACATAAAACTTCTTCAGTCCTTGTGAACTTGTCAGCAAACAATGTTACCATTTTTAGTACATTTGAAATCGTGTTCAAATAATCCTTAAAAAAATACTCAAAAATGTATATATATAAATAGTGGTTTACCTTCTTTACAAATACTTCGAAGCGACAATTTAACACAAGAAGAAATTGAAGGAACCATCTGAAAACAGTCTTAAATTTGTAAGTATCTGATTAACTTTTAATTTGTATATTATTTTTACCAGACTTCAACATATAAAGTATTTTAGTTAAAACAATATTTTATTTTCCAAAATTTATGGACGGGTAATATCAACAAAATACAGACTAAAGGGCAAAAATGTCTATCAAACGTTTTTTTTTTTTATTCTTTTTTATTTGTTTTGTGGTATAAGTTGTTTAAATTAAAATTGAAACCCAAGCTACCTTTCATATCATGTATGTAGTGCATCTAACGATAACATCATAGGTTACAGATTTAGAATTAAATTTGACAAAAAGTGTTTTTTTACTGTATAATTGTATGTTTATTTTTCATTGTACGATAGATAGATTTGAAGCTCTACTGACGCAGTCCTGATATTAAAATATATGAATTTATCTATAGAAAATATTGTCAACACAAAAGGAGTGTTAAAAGGCATTTATTATGTTATACCGAAGAAAATTGTTTTATTTCAGGAACAAAGATGTGTATGAAAATCCTCGGGAGGTTTATACTGTTCAGCCTTATTTTTATCCTCTTCTTCATACACCAGGGATCACTAGTTTTGTTGATAAGCCAAAGGGAACTGGAGTCAACAAACGAATGGTAAGACTTTATTATTGAAATCCTGTTTTTTTCATCTGAACATTAATCATTGATCAATCAATGTCGAAAAGTGCTGGAAACACGTTTACTCTGTCGTAATGCTACAAGATATTTAATTGCCCTCATTTTCAAGTGGAAGTTTAAATTTCCGCGTCCTGCATCCAAGAGGGCCTCTATTACTGGACCTGCCTTTTGTATTATTTATTAATTTGTTCTCGGCCTGAACATGCCTAATATATTTGCCACTTGAGATTTTAAGCATCCAACAATCAATCAATTCCAAAATTTCATTTGAAATCCAGCCCCAACTTAAAAAAAATTGTTTTCAAAACTTAGGTTTGTTTAAAGACTTTTAAAGACAACTCGGACCAGTTTGAAAGACAACTCGGACAAGTTTGAAAGACAATTCGGACCAGTGGCTCTGTATGGCTTTTACGTTTAATGTGATTTTTGTTTGTTTTTGTCTAGATTTTTTTCTTTTCAGTTTCCCCTAACTGCCCAACTTGCTGTGATAACTAGTCAGTTTGGTGCATTTAATTTGCTTGTTTGTTTTAACCATATTTCTATTACTATTGATTATTTTATCAAATTATACCCAATGATCATCTCATAATCTAATTGAAAAAGAAAATAATAAATTTGTTTTTGATTGCCGATTAATGAGTTAACTGGTTGTATCATCGCATGTGTTTGAACTAGTAACTTAAAGTTGTAGATCAATATTATCAAAATATCCATGATGATGATTTTTACGAAAGTGGTCTCTAAATTACATTTTTTTACATTTATGAGAAAAGTCGCATGAACAGATACAGCCATAAAAAATGAACAACAAACATCTTTAAGACAGACAGACGGATACCATAAACATACCTATGTATACACAGGCCAGAGTCTGAGCTTGTTTTGCTACATGATATAAAAACTAAATTGACGAAAAAATTTCATTTATTCCAAATCATAAATTGCAAAAAAATGCATTTTGCAAATAAAACATTTAACATAAAAGTTCATAGTTAATATGAAATTATAATACATAATTAGTACGAAATTACATCAACTAAAATCATAAAGACAAAGAATAGCAAAGGTGTGGATAATAAATTTATATACATATCTTCTTCTAAAGATAAAATTAAGGGAGGTATGCGGGTGGGAATTTTTTCACAAATTGTTTGATAAGAATTACAAGTTAACAAATCAAAAGCTGATGATAAAAGGAATTGCCCACATAGCATATACACGTTAACCTGTGTTGACCCCACAAGATCATTGACCAATAAGAAAGGTGTAATCCAATCATGCACTGGTCATTAGTGAAATTTCTCTACACGTGAAAACATGTTATCTAATTTCAACAATTTATCGTGTAATTAAGGCTGGCAAATCTGACCCATTGACCAGTACAGAGACATCATCAATTTACAGTATAAATAGCTCCCTCTTATTTTAAGTCTGAGTAATAAGTAATACAGAATTAATCTTCCCTGCTGTCTTAAATGATTTTATTTAGCTATCGTTTAGCATTTACGAGAAAAGTCGCATGAACAGATACAGCCATATGGTTTTACATTCAATCAAAATATAAATTAGATATATGTTTGTCTTTTCATATGCCATATCGCCTCCATATAATAAGTGATCCTAGTAGTCTTTCAGGAGGGTTGGAATGCCTTTTACCGTCAGGAGTCAAATGATAATTTTCGACTATCGTTAGTGTCAACTTGATTAAACTTATATTGTAATTTGTCGAATTATCCTTTTCATGGTTCGTCGGAGGTCTCAATTATTTAACCAATACAGTTCTAATTGGAAAAAATATACCGTGATTCGTAAAAATCAAATGACTTTTTTTTCTTGTCATGGAGATATGAAATCTGTGTTTCTTTGTGGATGTTTTGTGGACTTTTCTTTTGACCATGGTGGAGTCTTCTTTCTTCGACTTATGGGGTTTTAATGCCCCCTTTGCATGGTTTCCACGTTTAAAAAAATAAAAGTAACTAAAGTTGCATAACACATATACATGACTTTTTTTTATACTACATTTGAAATGAATTCGAACATTTCAAAGTATTGTTACGGCCAGAAATAACCTTTAAATTTTAGCCAACAAAAGACAAAAAATCGATAATAAATTGAACAAGTTTATTTATACAATTTTACAAGAAATATTATACAAATAGAAATGTCAACTGAACTGTAAAAATATGTGAATGTCCGATCCTAGTCTTTTCTCTATCCGGAAATCTTCTCTTGACTGTTGCTGAATCCAAACGGAATATTTATATCAAAAATTATGTATTTCATGTGATCAAATCGCGTCATTAGTGAACGTTAGAGGAATATGGCGCGACCTTACAAGTTAAAATTCTCATCAACAAGAGGTTGGTTAATCGTCTAATATTCTTATATTTAAATGAGATGACCCAGCTGATGAACAAGTGTCTCTGCTGTTTCTAATTTAGTAAAAGAAGAGGTAATATTGTTCTCTGCGATTACCTTATTTTCACAGAATTTTTTATTTACCTTTAACGTTATTTGGCAAGTTTTTTTTAACGTTATTCATTTTGAAGGTACTTCAATTACGACCTTCTTTCAAACTTTTCTGTGTTGCCTTTATAAGTGGTCCGAATTGTCTTTAAACTTGTCCGAGATGTCTTTAAAAGTGGCCCGAGTTATCTTTCGATTGGTCCGAGTTGTCTTACGATTGGACCGAGTTGTCTTGGTCCGACTTGTCTTTGGTCCGAGTTGTTATGTATTCATTTTATCAACCCATGACGCCAAACAAGAAACTTTACAAGTAACAAAAATTGTGCATTTCAAAGCTCGTGCCACGTTGTACGGCCCTTTTTCTTACTATTTTAAATCTTTTGACGTCCATATTAAATTGCATTTAACTTAATACTAGTAGTTATAGTTGTTTTACTATTATCACCATTATTATATCTATGTTTTTATTTTATTGCAGGAAATCGGTTACTCTTTTGATTGTACTGTTTCCATATGTTGCCTCGTTGTTATCACAAATATGGACATCATCATTTTCAACAGGAGGGAAATGGAAGGAGTGGCCCCATTGGGGATCGCTTTTATTGGTACGATTTTTGAAAATTTATTTATGCTTCAGTTTTCTTGAATTTGTTTTATATTCTTTTTTCCCCCCATTATATTCACTGTTTCTAAATGACTTGTTTTCGTCGTCTTGATTGTCTTTTATATGATAAATTTTTTAAACCTTAAACGTTCATATTAATTTACGCATTAATTGGGCAAGAAAATTTACATGTACCAATGGTGTATTTAGAGCCAGTCTGCCAGAAAACCATGCAACAGGCTACAAATGCAATGCTATCATATTGGCCATTCTATTTTGCATACACGATACCTTCATGACAACTATTCTCTGTGCAAAATATTTAAATAAAATATTTGATGATAGTCCCTTTATGGAGCGGCATCTATATATTGATATTTATGGTGAAAATAAGGCTGAATAAAAGGCAATTTTAGTATTTTTAGCTGATTAATATCAGTTTTTATCATCATGTTACTGTTTTATTGGTAAGATTATGTTGCAATACTGTATTTCAACTATCCAAATATGTTAATACCTGAGGTTAAAAATTTTCCTTCATTCGCTCCAAATATCCTAAGTTTTACAAATCTGCCAAAATTGTGAAAATTGCAATTTTTAAAAGTGTGTATTTTCTAAAGTGGCAAAATTATTTGATAGCCATTTGTTTTTTTCTTAAACTATGATTATATATCTACAAAATATAAAAATTCAATTTCGGCAAATGATCATAGTACTCAATTCATGCAATGTTAATATATTAGTTCGGAAGGAATTATGGTTTAGCAGGTGTTATCCTACATTAATGGTATTTTTCCTATTTGGACCTTTCAATTATCCCCCTAATGACCCACCATGTAGAAATCAAATATATCATGCACACTTATAATATTTATTAAGTATCTTATATAACTTTCACATTAAACCCTTCAGTGGTTGAGGAGAAGTTGCGAACAGCAGGTAAATGTACTTATATTCTTATTCGCCAAGCTCAAACGAATATAAATTATTTAATAAATAAATCAACACATGAATAGGATAAGTGTGCCTACAGGTGTAGCAGCCTTTAATATGTATTACATTAAATATTCTTCAAACTAATATCCTTCACTATAAATTCAGGCAAGCACTACCAATCCAGGTATATATAGTATACACAATCAAATTCTATCTACAAAAGAGGAAAAATACATATTGTTATAATTTAATATATTTATATACCCATATTAACAATTAACATTAACCCAAAAATTTAACATAATAACGAACTGCTGCTACGTAAACTATAGGCAAACTTCGAATAACTTGAATTTCTAAAACGAATCCTTTAAGTAATACTTAATCATGCTTTTCATGAATCTGATGAGGTGCATATACCCGTAAAAGCCGTATTGTGGGTATATGCCATCCAATCATAACTAACATAAACACAAACCATGTGCTAAGTATAAAATCAAACACGTGTTTATAGTAAACAATCACTTGACCGTAACTACATCACGTGACCAAAAACTTTACTAATCATGAAATAACTAATCAAAGAATTCAAATATAGAAAAATATTCAACGGGTGACCGTACAAAACATTAATTCACGAATGCGCATAGCGCATGAGATAATTATCATTGTTGTTCGGTCACAAGTTCAATATTTTTCGATATTTGAATTATTTGATTAGGTATTAATTTTATTATTTTGACAAACAGACGGACGGACAGACAGACATCATGAATATTGTATATCCTAGCTATCACTAGTAGGAATATAATAAGTCTCTGTACAAAAGTATCAACTTGATTTAGGACAGCCAATAACTAAAGGTCAAGCTGGCCTTTCTGGCCTGTATAATTATTTATTAAAGGGATAATGCTTAGGAGTAATGGTTAGTTCATTATTGTAAATACTCTTTTAAATCTTTCCAAATGAATAAGACATGTGGAGAAAATAAATCAACTCGCCAATTACTATATCTAGATTGAAAGAAGAATTTTGCATTGATTGATAACCCACAATCTTTATATGTACATGATAAAATACCAGCAAATGAACAGAGCTTTCGTTGCTGTTCTTCATCTTAAAGTCAGCGTGAGGCTTTCAACATGTAAAAAAAGCTCACACCTCACTACAAGTTCAAATTGACCCCTAGCACTGTTTCACTTGATCTAGATTTTAACAGTCTGATTTTTCTTATACATACAACAACATGTTTCAATCATTTTCATTTTATATTAATTCAAAATACATGTAATGAAGTCATTTAATACTTGAAATTAAAACACTATTACACTGACAGTGGCTACTTTATCTGAAATACCAATGTACTGTTTCTGCATGAATGCCTGTAAAATTGAAATGTCTAAGCTAACTATATATGTTGCCAAGTCTGCAGAAACAGCGTGTATGTCAGCACTTTCCATTTTGCCAAGGTGTTTTGGAAAACATCATCATCAACTACATTTAAATTCTCAATTTCAACTAAAAAATACGATCCAAGTTTGACAATTTGGCAATTACACTCCAAACTTAAGATGCGGTTAACCACTCATCAGTGTTAAATTTCTCTGTTTCATGATTGTTCCTGAATAGTTTCAAATTATTACAAGCTTGATCAAAATTTTGTATTTTTTCTGTAGCACTGCATTTTACGTATATATCATGTAATAATTCTTTAGCCCTAATTACTACTAAAACGTTTCAAACATTTTCTTTGTTGGCATATACATGCTTGCCTATGCTTATATGTGATATTCTAAGACATGAGTTTTTTGTGTAAATTTACGCCATTTGGCTCAGGACAAGCAAAAAATGGTTCATCATCTGAATTATCACCAGTCTCGGCTATTATATTTGCTCTTGGAAAATATTTGGTTTCTGCTGTTTCATTATATCCTCCATTTGAGTTTACTTTGTTATATGTGTAATTAACAGAGCCTGGTTAAAAAGATTTCTTCTTAATAAAATGTAAATAAAATGTGTCTACAAAAAAAAAACATAACCATATTATCATCATATATGGAATTAAGCATAACGTAGGCAAAATTGACAAATTTTAATGGAATAGTGTTGTAGCTCAATACATAGTCCCGGATATTTGATACAGTCACATGATATATGTAATATAAAGTTTACACAAAAAAAACCCACTGAGAGCGAAAAATGAAAACCTTTAAATTGAAAACTGAAAACAATGAAAATGTATTAAACAAATATATCTCTATAAGTATTATATCAGTACAAATATGAGCAATGCAATTTGCCCTGGTTAAAATAATAATTCTGTATTTAACGAGAATATATTGTCGCAAAGAAAAAAACATGAATATAATTGGAAAATCGTTGTCAACATTTTCTTACTGTACAATACAATACAGAGTTTGCATCATTAGAATGTTGTCTAATGGGGAATTGAATTCAAAGATGGTTTTTTAACCCATACTTATATATTACAAACTGTATGATAATTTGAGGTATTATTTGTTTTTGTCATTGGCTAAATGAAACACTCAATGGATGTGTGAGCAAAGTGTTGCAGATTTTTTTTTACAGGAAAGGGAATACCGATTCATATGCATACACACATGTATGTAAAATGTTTGTATTAATAAGGAAAAAAAATTAGAAAAGAGAATACTTTTCAAGAAATGTAGGGGTGGGATTTCTTTAATATAGAAAAGAGTAAAAAATATGTACTGTCAATTATGCAGTACCTAATTGCCTTTTCTGAATCACCCTGAAATGAATTTATATCAAAATTTTATGTTTGAAGGCTCGTTAGAAAAAATGAATTTCACCCTCTAAAAAATACAAAAATTTTCAGGCACCTACAAACGATACCAGTCTTTTTCTTATAGAAGTTTTAGGAGATGACTGTTGGGTTTTGGGGGGTTGTAAAATATTTTAAAGAAGTATTCTACCCTAATTTGTTGAAAATTAATTTATATTTTTTGGTAGAAAGTTATAAAATTTTAATTGTTTGTGTGTTTCAGATTTTAGCTCATTTTCTCTAATATGAAAATAACTAATTTGAATCAGCCTATTGCAAAGATTGAAAATTTATATTTGATCCGATAAAAAAATCATACAAGCTCCCCCCCCCCCTTTTTTCCCCCAAAAATCAAATGGTCCTCCGGTATTTTGTCTTTGTGTATGTGTACGGAGAGGGGGTTAATTTTATCTGTTTCTATGTTGATGACTTCTCTTGTCTCCAACCAGTACGAAGAGGCACCTCTATCTACTGTTGCCTTGCCGGAAGCTGGATGTTCTGGGTAGCAACATTTCAGTTTACTTAAGCTTCCTCTCCAATAAATGCCAAAATAGTCTCTGTGTTGCTGGCATATGTTTAACTGAAGCAATCTAGCATCAATATCAAAACATTCCAGCGCGATATGAAAATAAGTAAATCATCTGTGTTCCCTTTTTATTTTTCCAGACACTGCAGTCCAATCAAATGTATATGTGTGTTCTTATCACTTTGTGAAATAGGTATTATGAGGGTGTCATTCTCATAATTTTGTTATTTTAGACAAGAAAAACCAGTAAATATAAAAAGTCACTTTTCTTGGTCTCATTCTCCATGACATACAGCTTATGGTAACATTATGTTTTCACAATGGAGAGTGTAAATAAGGGGAGATAACTTATAGAGCACCTCTGACTGTTTTTCCCTATCTATGTGATTTTTTGGCAAATATTCATTTTAAAAATTATGACAAAGCGTATGTAATAGTGTTATTCAATAATTTTATGTTATTGAAATCTTAGGTTAATTGATAGCTTAGTGCTACCGAGTTTTAATTAAAATTTAGATAATTCAGAAATTTATGAAAATATAGGAAAGTTAGATGTAAAATTCATATTTTACAATTATTTGCCAAAATTATATTTTTGATATTTTTTTACAATACCCATTGGTCTATTCACTGAAACTTGTTTCATGAAAACAATTATGCCACTTTAGGAGATTTATAAACTCAAACTTCCTCCAAAATGCACTGTAGCGTACAAGGCCTTACATAATACCCCCTACCGTAAAATCATTCGACACAAATAATTCAAGACATGGTTAATTGTTGTCTACGAAGGTTATTTTTAGCAAATACAAGTTCAAATGGCCAGTCAAACTGTTATAAATCAGACTTTACTGTGTTTAAAAATATTTTTCACTAACAATTAAGTGATTTTTAGAGCATTATGCAAATGAGGCTGTTGCTAAAAATTGACTCAATTTAACAAAGTCTATGATGTATTTTTTGTTTTCTTTTATACCTGAGAGTTCAAAAATATTAAAAAAATTTCAGAAGTTCTGACCTGCCATTTGGACAAAATTTAGATTTTGCATGGTTTTCTGGCAGACTGGCTATTAATGTTAAAACATGAGACTTACTTAATCGCTGCAATGAAATGCCTCATCACCGGTTATGAAAAATTCACCGTACCGGATGTCAACAGGAATGATGCGACTAGTGGAGTAAGATTATTGCTGACTCTTCCGGAGCACCTGAGTGTATTCCGTTTTTTTTGTTAGGTTCATTATGCCGAAGCTCTGTTCTCTGTGCCATTTTTTAACTACTGTTTCTATGTTTGTCAATTCTTTTTTTTTCTCGTTAGTCACGGTGTTGTTTGTCTTTCTTGTACTTATGGTTTTTGATTTCCGTTGGTATGTTCTTCACCTTGATTATATTTCCATTGGTATGTTCTCCCCCATTATATGTTCTTCCCCTTGGTATGCTCTTCCTCTTGATATAATTTTTCCTTTGATATCTTCTCCCCGATGATATGTATTTTCCCTTGGTATGTTGTCTCCCTTGATATGTTTTTCCCCTTTGTATATTCTTCCCCTTGAAATATTTTTCCATTGGTATGTTCTTCCCCTTGATGTTTTTGCCTTGGTATGTTCTTCCCCTTGATGTGTTTGCCTTGGTATGTTCTCCCCGATGATATGTTTTCCCCTTGATGTGTTTACCTTGGTATGTTCTTCCCCTTGATGTGTTTGCCTTGGAATGTTCTTCCCCTTGATGTTTTTCCCTTGGTATGGTCTTCCCCTTGATGTGTTTGCCTTGGTATGTTCTTCCCCTTGATGTTTTCCCCTTGGTATATTCTTCCCCTTGATGTGTTTGCCTTGGTATGTTCTTCCCCTTGATGTTTTTCCCTTGGTATGTTCTTCCCCTTGATGTTTTTCCCTTGGTATGTTCTTCCCCTTGATGTGTTTGCCTTGGTATGCTCTTCCCCTTGATGTGTTTGCCTTGGTATGTTGTTCCCCTTGATGTTTTTCCCTTGGTATGTTCTTCCCCTTGATGTTTTTGCCTTGGTATGTTCTTTCCCTTGATGTGTTTGCCTTGGTATGTTCTCCCCGATGATATGTTTTCCCCTTGGTATGTTCTTCCCCTTGATGTGTTTGCCTTGGTATGTTCTTCCCCTTGATATTTTTCCCTTGGTATGTTCTTCCCCTTGATGTGTTTGCCTTGGTATGTTCTTCCCCTTGATGTGTTTGCCTTGGTATGTTCTTCCCCTTGATGTGTTTGCCTTGGTATGTTCTTCCCCTTGATGTGTTTGTCTTGGTATGTTCTTCCCCTTGATGTGTTTGCCTTGGTATGTTCTTCCCCTTGATGTTTTTCCCTTGGTATGTTCTTCCCCTTGATGTTTTTTCCTTGGTATGTTCTTCCCCTTGATGTGTTTGCCTTGGTATGTTCTTCCCCTTGATGTTTTTCCCTTGGTATGTTCTTCCCCTTGATGTGTTTGCCTTGGTATGTTCTTCCCCTTGATGTGTTTGCCTTGGTATGCATTTTCCCTTGATATATTTACTCCTTGTTATGTTCTACTTCTTTGTACGTTTTTTCCCTTCATATGTTCTTCCCCTTGCTATGTTCTTCCTCTTTGTATGCTCTTCCCCTTGATATGACCATTGCAAATTTTGGACTGCTATCATCAATACTTTAAGGACGAGGATGCATATGCCACTGTATGTAAACGCATATCGTATAGTAACTTATAAAAGGTTGGCATGTTAAAAATTGGAAACAATTTAAAATAGAAAACTAAAGGCCTGATTTATACTTACAACAGATAAACGAGTAAAATAATATTATAAACACAGCCAAAGACAACTTGATTTCAGGCTCCTAACTTAGGACATGCATTCACAAACACTTGGCGGGGTTAAACATATTTGTGAGCACTCATATACAACCCTTACTTAAAGTCTTTATAGTATAAATGTATTTAAAGATATAAATTGTATTACAAATTATAATCTTTGAGTGGTTTGTTGCTCTTATTTGCTTGGCGACCAGTGGCAAATACATGTTTTCAAAACTTTTCACAATTTAGAGGCAATAAAATCCATGGATTAATTTGGCTCTCTATCATATTAGAAAAATAGTTATATAAAAATGATTGTGAATTCGTGGCCTGGAGTTTTGAAAACATATTCTGTAACATGTATCGTTATATTTTTTTTTATAAAGATGGAAGAAGAACAAAATGTATCATTAAAAGTTATGAGTCTCTGGTGTTTGTAAATGTTTCAATAAGAAGAAAACTTTATCCGAGTTTACCAATGAAATAGTCATCACTCAGTTATTTGTAAATATATTTACCTTTGTTATTTTAAACTCTATTGTAGACGAAAAAGTGCGATTTATCAAATGTAATTTCACCTTGAATTGTGCAAAGTTGAAAATGGCAACTTAAATGCATTGAGATATTAAACATACATAGCAGACGTTCGTGAACACTGACAAGAAATAAATATATAAAACAAAAAAGACTTTGTTGTTTTAATTTACATCGTGACAGCTCAATAATACATTTGCATAGCAGTGTTATATTAAATTAAAAATGTAACCGCATTGGAAGCCAACAATAAAAACGGAGTATTAAAATTCAGAATGATTTTTTTTTCAAATTTACTTAATAAGATAAACTTTTTATGATTAAAAATTAGGTATTTTAGGAACTTAAAATTGTCCCTCTTTTAGTTTGGTTATACTTATGCGCATTTATTTCTTGAAATAGCTTCTTTATTCCCTATCTTAATATTATTGTGAAAGTAAAATTTTATGTATCTATGATATTTATAAATATAAAAATTTCTATCTTTTTAAGGGTGTGATATCTTCCGTTGCTGAGAGTTATATGTTGACTAGTTTAGTTTGGAGTTATCTGTGGAAAATACCAGGATTTCTGTTATTGGGTGTGTTACACTCAGGGATGATTTTTTCCTTGTTTTCAACTGGAATGGTAAGTGAATTCAACTTTTTCAAGCATACAATTCATTTTATTGTTATGTAATTTTTTGAACATAGCTTCTGTGCCTTCTGTTTTTTCTTAATTATCTTTTATTATTCTTTGTCTCATTGATAGTATTGAGTTATTTATGTACATGTAGTAAAATAATGGAAGCTGTTTTTTTCGTATTTGGTACATATGAATACGTTCTTTTGTTGAAATATACCTCCTCCTTGTATTCTTTAAAGCTTTATACTGTCCCACTGACTTTTTACAAAAAAAAATAGTTTTAATATTTATAATGTACTTTAAACTAATGTATATTTGTTCATAACCTCTGACGATACCATATGGAACATTTAATGTCATGGCGTAAAACATATCACCATATTACGCTAATTCCCACCAACAAATTTAAGGGTGGACAATTGTACCGACATATCTAAACACTATAGTTACTTGGATGTCTGGTTCGAAGAACCCTTTGGTTGAAAATAACATATACTATATACCATTACACCAAGTTAAGTGCTTTTCATATGCACTCAGAATAGTTCTTTTAATTTCTATGTGGTATCTTTTTTTTATTTAAACGTTATTCTAATGATCGAGATAAAAAAAAGAAGAGGGTCGAGAATTCAATAATCTAGTTAAAAATTGCCACATATTCATATGTCATTCCCAAAGTTCTTTTGTTTTTATGTGTCGTTTAGTTGGTTGTGCGTTGTCTCAATGAGATATCTTCTTAATTTCATATGCTATGCTCATTAATTTTTTTTTAAGAAACTTGTTAACCAATCAATCGATCAATATACTTTTAAAGCATAAATCCTACGATTACTTGCCCAGCAATTATATAGGAAGGTATTAGCATCGAGGTTCAAAAACAGTTATCTAGTCCACACTTACATGATGTTAAATCTGACCCACCATGAATAACAATAGTTGCTCAATATTGAAGGCCATACAATGTTGTTTATTATTTGTAAATCTGTTGGTGTTATGTTTCTTACTATCTGGTGTATTCAGTTACACGGAATTTCTCTTTATTTCTCGCATAACACAGTTGAAAGTTAAATTCAGTTTGACAACAATGATCGTTTTGAAACTAAAAAACAGGCAAACAAAAGTAAACACAAAAGCACAGAGAAAGTCCAATAGTTAAAAAACACCAATATTTCGACAACTGTCTATCAGAAACATAATGGCATAGAAGTTAGTAACTATAGATAATCGTACGGCCTTCTCAACGAGCAAAACACATACCGCATAGAAAGCTTTAAATGACCCCGACATAACAAATGTAAAACAATTCAAACGAATAAACTCACGGCCTGATGTATGTTTAAAACAATAAATGAAAAATAAATATGATATACAGCAACTAACGACCACAACTGAATGACAGGCTTCTGACTTGGGACAGGTACATAGAGAATATTTCGGGTCAGTCATGTTTGCGGGCTCCCACCCCTTTCATAACCTAGGACAGTGGTGTAACAACAATTGAGAACTATGAAAATCTGTTAAAAAACGTTTGACTCATCAGATTGACACAAAGCACACAAAACAAATAAGAAAAAGACTTTAGACACAAAGTACCGATCTAAGAGTACTCGCAATTATTGAAAGCGAGTTCACTGTCAATAACAATTAATAAAAAATCAGTTGTCTGCTTTGCAGCAGTTAAAATTATTGTTAAAGGGATATGGATTATATACATATACATAGGTCTTTTTGTTTTTGTTTCAGAAGAACAACACAAAAACAAGTCGGATCATACACACACTATTGGTAATAGTTTTCATAAGCTGCATAATTGCTTGTTTTGTACTGCTGGTGACTACAGACAGAATGACGGCAAAAGAATCTGGATTAATATTTTTCTTCATGGTCACAATATCAATATTTAATACTCTTAAATATCAAATATTTACACATACAACAGAAAACAGAGGGACTCAGAACTCCGCTTTACTATATATTATTTTGAAGATGCTTACTTGTGTGTTTGCTGTTTACTTTTTACAACGAAAATCTAGCACGAATGAATTGGTATCATTAAAGTCATTTTTCGAGACTTTGTGTTTGCCGAATGCAAAAAATCTTTGTCTCTGTGTTTCGATCTTGCTGACTTCATTTCTATGTCAGTGTGTTAAGTATTTCAATGCAAGATCTAAAGTTGCAAGATATATTGTTCATTTGCCCATATATTTTTCGTCAATTATAATGTCATCTATACTGGTATTAACGTTTTCGTCAGTGATAGACATATCGCACATTTCATGGGCTAGTACTATAAGTCCATCATCTTCTCAAGAAATCAAAGTTAGTGCAGACAATATTGCATTGTACGGAACTGTAGCGGGACTACTTATACTACCGGTATTGCTGGATATATTGAATGACAGAACTATACTGTCTAACGAGTTCAGTATATATGAAGCCGTTTTAACAACACAGCATTTATTAAGTAGGACCTATAATACAATAAATGCAACACCATCTAACATATCAGCTAACAATAAAAGAAATGTCAGACGAGTATTTATATGTACTACAATGTATCAGGAATCACAAATAGAAATGGACAGATTACTTGCTAGTATAAGAAATGTTTCGGTTTCAAAGTTTTTGAAAAGAGAAAACGTCGTTTTAGAATCCCACATATTCTTAGATAATGGTGCTGATGGACAGAATATTAAGCAGTTTGGTCTCCAGTTACTGGGCTTAATTGAAGAAAATTTACTTACAGATAGAGATAAAGGGGTTATGTTATATACACCATACGGAATACAGCTTTCGTGGAAGATTGACAATGAAATGCCATTATTTGTTCACTTGAAAGATGTATCTAAGGTCAATGCAAAAAAGCGTTGGAGTCAGGTAATGTATATGAAGTATGTTTTGAACTATCGTTCGTCTAATTTTCGGAAGTCATCTGCAAATGTGTCGAAAAATTCCTCCGTGGCAAGTTTGCTTTCTGTGGAATCAATGGATTTGTCTAATGAGAAACGCAAACCCACTCAAAATAATTTGACAGTTCCTGACAACAAATCCAAGTCGCTGATCATAGATAATGAATCTGAGATTAACAGTGTTGAAACAGAGACGACAACCGTCCCATACATCGAAGTATTTATTAGCGATACGAGCTCAATTGAAAAGCTTTCGGTTAAAAACGGATTATCAAACAGTATATACACCATAACAGATACACAACAAATATATCATGAAGAGTTTAAATTTGATTGTGACGATTATATTCTGACAACAGATGCAGATATGACCTTTGAGGATACAAGTATCATGGATGTTCTACACAAGTGTGAATCTGACCCAAATGTTGGGGCGGTCTGTGGTCGAACACGCCCAAAAGGTGTTCATATTCACCCTATTGTTTGGCTACAGATGTTCGACTACGCTAAAGGTAAATATTTTGTGTATCAAAATGAGTATTTTTACCTTATAGTTTAATAAGTATTGTCAGTGCTCCTGTAAAGTTAACAAGTCTAATCCCGTCATATTCTCTATGTAAAATTGAGAATGGAAATGGGGAATGTGTCAAAGAGACAACAACCCGACCATAGAGCAGACAACAGCCGAAGGCCACCAATGGGTCTTCAATGCAGCGAGAAACTCCCGCACCCGGAGGCGTCCTTCAGCTAGCCCCTAAACAAATATGTATACTAGTTCAGTGATTATGGACGTCATACTAAACTCCAAATTATACACAAGAAACTAAAATTAAAAATGATACAAGACTAACAAAGGCCAGAGGCTCCTGACTTGGGACAGGCGCAAAAATGCGGCGGGGTTAAACATGTTTTTTGAGATCTCAACCCTCCCCCGATACCTCTAGCCTATGTAGAAAAAACAAACGCACAACAGTACGCACAGTAAAACTCAGTTTAAAAGGAGTCCGAGTCCGATGTCAGAATAGGAAACAAAAGAAAATAAACAAAATGACAATAATACATAAATAACAACAGACTACTAGCAGTTACTGAAATGCCAGCTCCAGACCTCAATTAAACTGATTGAAAGATTATGTCTTAATCATATGAATATCAGGCACAATCCCTCCTGTTAGGAGTTTAGTATTATACCATCATAAAATATATGAGAAGAACATAACCCGTGTCATGCCAACAACTGGTTTTAGAATAAATATGTTTAATTCCGATGCAAAGACCCTATAAGTGAATCAATATTAAAGCCAAAATATGCAATTTGTAATGCCCTGACAACAGTATCGTAACTATATCCTTTCTTAATAAGTCTGTTTAAAGGTTTTTTTAGCTTTTGAGGTGAATACTGACATTTTTGTGCTTTGTGAAGAATATTACCATAAAAGATTGGATGTGAAATACCCGAACGTATAAGATGTCTGCATGTTGAGTTATATTTACGAATGATGTCCTTATACCGATGATAAAATTTAGTAAATGTTTTGACTATTTTATGATATCGAAAACCCTGGTGTAATAATTTTTCAGTAATACATAAATTTCTCTCGCTAAAATCTAATACGTTGTTACATACACGAGCGAATCGTACAAGTTGAGATATATTAACACCATAAAATGGTGACAAGGGAACGTCACCATTTAGAAATGGATAATTAACGATAGGAAATGAAAAATCATCTCTTTTATCATAATTTTTTGTATTAAGCTTCCCGTTAATGATATAGATATCAAGATCGAGGAAAGGACAGTGGTCATTGTTAGTATTAGCTTTATTTAAAGTAAGTTCAACAGGAAAAATGTGTGCCTGTGTTTTAGGAGCTTGTAATTCAGTGTTAGTCGTTAGTTGCTGTCTATCATATTGAAGTCTTTTGTCTTTTGAGGTTTTTTTTGTACTGTCTGCCGATCATGAGCAAGCCCTTCAACTGATTTTTGCAGATTCTTCTGATGGTGTGCTGAGTTCGAAGATGGTTGGGTGCTCACAAACATGAAAAACAATGTCACATTCTGAGTCTTTATAAAACCAGGAATCTGTTATTCAGTGATTGTTGTTGGTTCGGACGCACCATATTTGTAAAGTGTCATTTATATCTTATATAATTAATGCAAGGCATCAACCTAAATGTAGGTTAATTGTTCTAGATTTGCCTTTTTTTTTGGACAAAACTGAAACAAAAGTTTTAAAAAAAATGTCATAGTTTGGTAATTTCAACAAAACGTTAAAACTTCCATTGCGCATTGTTAAGATCCGTAGGGTAACCTATAGTTTCTAACATACACGTCTTTGGTCTCTCAGACTGATGGAGATAACCGGACTGTTGACATTGTGTAATATATTTTTTTTTTTTTTAAATCATCTATCTTAGTTTCTTTGTTTCATTTTAGTCTTATTCGAAAGGTTACCATTCGAATTTCAGAACTAAGTTAATAGATGAATTTAATATCTAATACAATTATTATCATAAGCTGATGTCATTACATGAATTCTAATATATTCACTTAGTTAATCGTAAAGTAATGCTTATACATGTTTCTTTTCAAAAATAGATGTCCAGTACTATTATTATTATATACAAAACGTTTTAAAGATAAACGAATGGTGGTCCAGTTGTCTCAATTTAAATTATTCTTGAGGTTCAACTAGATAAACAATATGGCGTGTTTGCACAGTGAACTTTTGTCAATTTTCTTGTAATTGTCGCTACGACAATTGGAAAATAGCCCTGGTCATCTTTGGTATATAAATATTATAACGGTTAGTCAAATCAGGATGGCTGGCGTCCGTAAGACTTTTTTAAAGGGATAACTTCAATTTTACCATTGGAAACCCTAATTTATATAGCCTCCATGTAAACAGCAACCCTCCATCATGATAGGAAACGAAAGCAAACTAGAAGTTGATAACCTTTACCTAAAAAGAAGTTTTACATGATTGTCAATGTTTTTTCATAATTCATATGGCAAAATGTTGATTCGAGAAGTCAATGAATTACTTTAATATTCAACATAAATTTGTGTTATTATATCATAGTTGTCGACATTTATGTTTATAAATCAGTAGCAAATATACGATAGATTTCATTGTGACATTCAAATACAGTGATAAAAAAAAAAATTCAAATACAGTATTTGGCAATATTTTTGAAACACTATTGGAAACAGTCACTAGCAAAGCAGTTTGGATGAAAAAGGGATATGTACAAGTCTTAAATTCACATTGTAAACATATTGCATTGTATTGCAATATTTTAAAAGTACTATATTGAAAATTATTATCCTTCTTGTAAGACGTTCTTTTAATAAATATAATTTTTTGATTTGTGATAAAGTTAAAATGAATTATTTGGAGAAAAGCTCACCTTTACCTTATAGTTAGTAGAGCTGTTGTTAATAGTATGGGTTCTACCCGTCCATTAAATATTTGTTCACGTTCGTTGGCGAAGCTTAGCGCAATTGTTGTCGGCATCCTTAATATCTTTATAAAATGAATAATTATTGCAGTACAATTCGAAGTAAAGAATTAACCATTGCCGTTTGCCTAAAATGAAATATCGTATGTAGCCTTTTAACAATTTCACAATTTTTTCTTGGGTTCAAGCAAAAGTTCAAATAATGAATATTCTGAGATATTTTTTCCGTGTGATGTTTTATAAATATTGACCGTTATTATAATCATTATAATACTGTTGTATTTAGCATTGACTTAGCGAAATAGTAGCCTCGGATGCAGACAGTGTGAAGCCCACTTCAGGCTGTGAACTTTGTCTTCAACTTTAGTTTGTAGTTTCGCTTAGTAAATGATAAACACAAATTTATTCTAAAATAAATGGTAATTGCAAGCTTATGCACATTCATATTTTGTTTTGAATAATTTCTTTTCTTATTAGTGCACTACACTTTATACATTATTTTGGTATCCTATTTTGATATTTTAACACGTAATATTGTACTTTTAGATTTCTGGACAATTAAAAGTTCGCAGAACATTATTGGCTCAGTTATGTGTTGTCCAGGATGTTTTAGTATGTATAAACTGAATGCTGTTAGAGAGGTTGTTGACGAATATTCGGGACCAGTAGAAAAAATGGAAGATGTTTTTACAAAAGACAGCGGTATAAAAATTGTTAACTATTTTGAGGACATATTTGCAATATTCAACATTTCAATATTCTTGAAAATTCTTCCCCTATATAAATGTCCGTAAAACGTTACATTTGGATAACTTAACCTTTGCATCATATTTTTAAAGTTATCACTCGTTTATTGTTACATATCATACATTTAAAATTGACTGCATTCAGACATTTAAAGATTTACTGCATATATACTTATTACCTCACTTATTGGTCTCATAGACCTATAAAGAAAGGAAATAAATGATTTTGTATCAAATCAGATAAATAAACGTTGACGCGGCTTAAATGTTTTTTTGCATATTTAATTTATTATTTTAGGTGAAGATAGATGGATGTGTACGTTATTGATGTTGAAAGGGTGGAAATTACGATATTCTAGTAATGCTAGGAATACTACGTTCTGCCCAGAAAATACGTATGAGTTCATGAAGCAACGTCGTAGATGGTTACTGTCAGATTATGCAAACGCCATATTGGTTATTCGGAAACTCGGAGCCTTGCTATCCACAAACGATGCATTTTCTGTTCTTTACGCCCTCTACTTGTTGCAACTATTTCTTATAATGCTTTTATATCCTGGGTCTACAATCGTAATGATGAGTATCGGTTTGGAATTAGTGACTGGTGCACCTCTCATCGTTGTAACTCCTGTGATAGTTGCCATAGTTTTTGCCTACTGCTTGATGTTACTCAGTGAAGTTGCTTCAACAGTACAGTTGATTATTACAAAGATTTTGATAATGGTCTTTGGAGCAGGAACAGTCTACACATTTGTAGTTTACACTGTTATTATTTTTAAAGACTTGGCAAAAGGTAGGTACAAACGATATAGCATGACATTGTTAAACTTGTATACAATAAAAACAACACTTTTGTAGTTTGTGAATACACATTAGAGGGAAATGGAAAATAAAATACAAACAAGATTATGGAAGTCTTTCTGAATTATGTCTTGCATCAGACATGATTTTAAAAATAAACAGCTAAAAGCCCTCTAGTTATCTTAAATCACAAATATGAAAATAACAATCAGTAATTGACCTCTAGTAAAAGTTGTTCCATGGTTATAATAATTTTACCTGAAAGTTATAATAAGTTTGAAATTTTGAAACTTTATTAGCCAATCAATACCAAAGAACTATGTACCTTTGTTTTTTTCCAAAGTAAACACGGCATTTCTGATACTATGTAATTTGTCAATTTATTAATACCAGATGTGAGTACACGCCAATATACAGCAATCGAACAGAACAAATATCTCAAAAGACATCGGAAGGTGAATAATAGAAAAAAAAAATCATGTTTTATTTCGTGAACGGGTTTTTAACTATTGTCTCTGTAGTATTTTAAGCTGTAAATCCACTGCGATAAATTTAACATGGACTGTCAAAAATCTACTATCAATACCAACCTCCCTTAAAGACATACACATTAAAAGACATGACTGACTGATGAGGTTCTTGAATGAACAGCGTATGAACATGCGCTATGTATATGGAATTTTACAGACAATACACATGAAGAGAATTACAAACCAATGTATTGTATATTTAAATTATCAGTATATGTATTTTCATCTGTTAACGTATACATCGTTCTACAGTATATTTTATCACTTTTTATACTTCTACAAACTAGGCTTCCAAGTTGGACATTTTGAGCACGCAGAAGGTTTTTTAGTAATGCTTATACTTGGTAGTTCCATCTATGGAGCTATGCTATACCCAACAGATATGTGGATATTAGTAACGGGTGTCGTCTACTTGTTCTTTATTCCATTAATGTATATGATACTACCTCTCTACGCTATCTGTAATATTGTGGATCAATCATGGGGAACACGTGATAATGTAAGTAAATGTTGATATATAAAAAACAAATTCAAGATATTTACGTCTGATTATATTTGTCAATCCTTCCATGAGTTTCATTTGATTTGATACCATTTTTCAAAAGATTTTTATTTCAATCATCTATAATTACACAAAAATGATTAAACAATTTAAAGTAAGCTTTCTATACGAAGACATAGGAATAGCGTTGTTGAATTCTTCTATAGTAAAACATATGATAATATATGTATATGCTTATCAATTTTTATGTTTTTAGCAAACTGCCACTGTACCAAAATTTTTTCACCTACCGAAAATTAAACGGAAAATGACGAAACGACGGAAATTTCAACAAGGTACATATGTTTTACATCTTCAAACATAAATTATAATACAAAAACTTGTATATGAATGTACATGAAATAGTCTATTCGTTAACTCGTATTGTTGCTTTATGTTAACGTTTACCTTCTATATTTTATTTGTATTAACAAAATGAGACATAAAGAAGAACTTAAAGTTAACATTTAGTCATTATTAATCTACAACGGCACGTGGTTGGGTTAGACTAATTCGATAGCCAAAAGAGGATTTTTTTTAGATTAATTCACCATTAGAGGATATACGTATACTTGACAGCGAATTTCTAGACCATTAAAAATAGAAACTTCTTCGTGCAGTGAATACCCGAAGAGTTGTCTGTGCTATAGAAATATTGACATGCCTGTGTAATTGGGGCCTGCGTGATGTATAATAAGTACTCATCTTCGCCTAGTCGGAATGAGAACGTTACATCAAATGCCTCGTATATGGAGTGCACATCAATCTGAACACATTAACCCTTGCAACTACTCTGAGGGGTCCGTAGTTGACCTACTGCATAGCCAAATTTTCTGTTTTTCATCTTTTAAATTAATAAAACGAGATGTTTCACTGTATACTTGGAAACAACAATCCGTCTATTAATCTTGGACTGATTGGTCCAATTAACAAAAGCTAAGTAGTATATTGTCAAGTCCGTTTATTTTTCTACTCATGCAAAAAACGGATATGAAAAATCAACTATGTTGTTCAAGAAAGATTTTAAATTTAGTCTAAGATATATTTTTAGTACATGTATGTTTGGCATTCTTACAAACATATTTTCAAATTGCATTACACAGGTTTGAACAGATAAAGGGGTTATACATTGAAAACCGATGGTGTCCCACTAATTGCCGATTTTTTACCAGGTTTCATCAGACGACTATAAGTGTGAAATTCACTGGTAAAATTTCGAAATAACTAAAAGATTTGAGTTTCGTGCATAATCGATCCCATGGGGCTAGAATTGAACGCTTCACCAGCACCTCAGTTCACCCCGGTTTTTTTGTGGGGTTCGTGTAGTTCAGTCTTTAATTTTTTAAGTAATGTTTTGTCATTGTTGTTTCATCTTTTGTCGTTTTTAATTTTTGCCATGTTATTGTTTGTTTTTATTGGACTGATGATTTCCGAATCATCCGCCCTTGGTATCTGTTCTCTCTTGTTTTGATACAAACCTAGACATTTACCTGTTTATTCATACCACACAATCGTTTTGAGTTTATTTCCTCAAAAGCAATTTTCTCGATTTCTTAATGGCAATTTGAAATATACCCACACAAACTTGTCAATTCGTGCTGGAGATCACAATACCATTTTGTTGTGAGGATGATAAAAATCAGTGTAATCAGAGTACATATGCTTAATCATGATAAAAGAGAAATCACACACAGCAGAAAATGTATTTCAAAAGCTGATATCAAAAAAGAAGAGAATGACTTTTAAAATTCTTTTATAATTATATTGTGGAGAATGTGAACACAGCTTCTGTACTCATACGAATATGGAAACAAATCCGCACTGAGCAATTATATTTTTACATGAAACAGTGTCCATATAAATGATTGTTACGATTTAGATTTTTTTGTAGTGCAATCGCTTTGCTATTTTTTAGTCTCGTCGAACAGAAAAATATACAAATGCGTGACTTTCCTATTCTTTGTACAATGTAGAACAGTGATGAAACTAAAATTTCATCAAACTTTCTCAAGTCGATTTGATTTATAGCATGTATACATGTATATGATAGTGACATGCCTTTTCGGGTATAATTATTGGGCGTATTAGTCTCACTAGTATAAATCATTCGAGCAATAGAGAAACACAAGAATTATATCAATAGAATTTCGAATCAATGGAAATTGAATTTATATTTCAAACTAAAGAACGAAGACAAAATTTCAAAACTTAAATCGATATCAGGTGCCCGGAATCTATCTGAATTGACCATATAATGGAATGGAAAATTGCTTTAAATCTGCGTACAATGAATTTTAGATGTTGTTGCACTAAAAAAAAATTGTACTGAAAAAAAATATGTTCAGATTTATTTAAAAACTTATCTGTTTTAATCGCTCTATCTTTTCTATATTATAATAATAGAAAATAGAAGCGTTTTATGGATTATTATTTGGTCTGATGTCATCTCACAACGATTAAGAACATTTGAAAAGAATATTATTGCATGCATGTATTTTTATTGAACAGGTGTTGCTTGTATTTTTTCATAATCATTTTTTCTTTTCATTTCGTTAAATTGTTGGTCAAATTTTAACGAAATATGTTGTTTTTTTTCAGTTAACACAACGTCACTTAGAAGTTTGAGTGCATCATCTGTTAGTTTGAGTGACTATAACCAAACTGAATTTGAATTCTGGGAGGAACTTGTCTCCAACGTTGTCGGATCGTCCGTATCAAAGGGGCTATCAAACGAAGACAGGATATTAGGATTGAAAAGGTTGAGAAAGAAGGCGTTAATGTTCTTTTTTATTGCTAATCTGATTGGTATTATCGCACTAATAGGGCTTTATGGCTTTTTGGTTCAGACTTTTAGTAGTAAATCAACATTTACCATTGTAATGGCAGTAACTCTAGGGTTATCACCCCTTATTCTAATATCCGGTAGTACTGTGTACAGAATTGATGATACCTTAAATCGTATAGGTCGATGGATTAACAATATAGCATAAAACTGAAGAAATCAGCAATAACATAATATATGGAGATAAAGAGGATATTTTAGTGTTGGACGAATGTTGTTACAGCGTGATGACTTTTAACATT